CGACTGCAAGAGCTGTTCCTTGTATACATCAACCAGAGGCTTACTTCCACTCTCATGACTTTTCAACCATGTATCAACATAAAGGTAGGAATGGGGAAACAAGTACTGAAACGAGAGATCCTCCAGCTCCAGTGACAGCCAGTTGGTCCCAACAGCATGAGCTAAAGGTGCGTGAATCTTCATAACCTCTAGAGAAATCGATTGTTGCTGATACCTTGGGAGGTAACCAAGATGTCTCATCATGTCAAGCCTGAGAACCAAGTCTAAAATCACAGCCCTCATATCGTAGTACGTCAAGCAGAACTTTCTCAGCGCAGCAGCACTGCCATCATCCAAGACATCAACTTTAGAAGGGACCTTCATGACCCGCAAGCTTTCGTGCAATAAATGGGCAGTGCCAGTACCAATCTGGTTTCTAACATCAAGAATTGAAACTGCACCAGCCTCCAGAACTGGTCTGAGTATCCCAGCCGAGATAACTTCAGCATCCATCTACATCAATCAAATTCACTGAAAACCCATTAATGGTTTCATCAAAATTACATAACTGAAGGTCCAGATAGTGAAAAAAAAAGTCCATACCTGAAGGTCTGCGAGAAGGAGAGAAATAGACAAGGCCCTGGAGAGCGAGGAACGACCATCTGGGGTTAGAGGCAAAGCGTGGAGCAGAGGAATGGAGAGCTTGAGAGCCTTGAAGAGTAACTGGGACCCACTGCTGGAAAGCATCCCCATCCTCTCTGTGAGCTCGTTGAATGCCCCCACCAGCTCAACCACCATCTTCCCTCCTGTCTGTTCCAGCAGAAACGACCGAGTTTTCAAGAAACCCAGTCTTCGAATTCGCTGAGTACAACATCTTTGCAGGGTCACAGTACCCGGGACTATCCGTACACGATCATGGGTTTTGGGTATTGGCTCCTGATGAAGAAGACGAGGATGATGACGTGGATAGTACAGCTCCATAGATGGAAGCTCCATGCTTATGTCTCTGCTTTGTTCGTGGTGGAGAGGTAAAGAGTAGACAGACAGTGAGGAGGACAACATAAGGATATGCTTGTAATTTTATCAACTTTATCCTCTTTTAAACTCGTCAAAAAGTAATTTTTGGTCCTGAAAGTTTGCTGTGTGATTT